GGTCTAATTCAACAATTTGGCCCTTTTAACCATCATAAGAAATGCTATTTAGCGAGCCAGACACTGGACATCACCCTATCATCCACAATATGATGGATGGTGGTACAAGCATCATGATGCAGGGGTGCTTCTCTGCAGCAAGACTGCTGCAGCATGCGTGTTAAAATAAATGACTGTAGAAAAATAGACTTCCTGCAAGAGAACCTGGAAATGGAGGCTTATTCTCCAACAACATCAACCCCCGAACATAGAGCCAAAGCTACACAGGAATGACATAAACAACCTGGAGTGGCCAACCCAGAGTTAAAGCCTCAATTCTATCTAAATTTGTGACATGACTTTGATATTGCTGTTCAATTATAGTGCCCATACCGCTTGACACAACCTGAGCAGTTTTGCAAAGAAGTCATTGAAGAAGTCATTAGGACTGTACATGCTGGAGGCAGCCACTGCCCCACACCACAAAACCCATGCTAGTGCAATATAGCCAAAATTGGATTTGCACACTGAGTGACCTATTTCTGAGAGATTTCAAGTTGATTTCAAATAGAAAAACAACATTTTGAGTCCATTTCTTTCACATATGGTCAGCATTCTCTGAGATTTGACACTGTCCATTTGAAGCAGTGCGACACTTATCTATGCACCATTGTGGAATAATAAATTGATCTGTGCTAAGAATGCAGTTTAACTCGAGGCTACACTGCCTTGAGAGGAAACCTACAACTGGTCTCTGAACACACATGCAACACTGTGCATACACGCACATACATGCTATTATCGACTAACAGTCATGAATGTGGACAGATTTTGAGTGTCACAGGCAGTGGTTCATTCCGCATAGCCTCAACTTTATGGGGCCAATCACAGTGCTCTGTGGGAACATGTAGATAACCGGTCCTTCCTCATTCCTTCTTACTATCTGTGTATTAGTGTTGAGGACACTAGCTGCCTTAGCAGATGAGGGAGAAGTTGTTTCAACTGTTAGCCTGGGACACAATAAATGGTCGATATTGTAAAAAATACATCTATGTAAAATGGAAAATAGTTATAGTATATATAGTTATTGTGCTTAATTACTACAATACAAATCAGGTAATTCTTAAAAATTGTATAAATTTGAATTTCACAAATATAGGACTGAGTTCAAAATAGAAATAATGGATGGTACAGTTAAAATGACTGTGCACTTCCACTATTGACAGCTGACTGGCTTTATTTAATAACCAACTTTTGCATATTGAAAGCTGAGATAAATATTAGGAAAATGCTATAAACAAAAAGAAATTTCTCATGGAAACATCTGAGCATCTCTCACACATATACACTTAAAAACTACACAAAAGCTTAATCCTGATCTAGCTAATGTGATTTCCTGCTAATTCTCCAAAGACTAGCAGCTGCAACAATAGGATGGGAGAAAGCCAGCAAGAACGGCAAAGAGCAAAGAGCAAAGGTCGCATAAACACGTTGAGAGCACTGTTGCTCCCACAAGAGAGCAATGGAAGCAGACTGGTCAAGAGGGAAAAAACTTTTCCCGTCAAAGTTGCTCAACTCCCACTTCCATGCAGAAAGAGCAGCAAATGGAGCTATTCCTGTCCTAACTTGGAGCTGATCAGAGGAAAGATGTGGGCGTTGCTAAAAAAGTAGCTGGGAGCTAAATGCTCAAAGTCAACAGCTGTCTTTGAGGAATTCCTCTGTTAGATTTAGGAGGCTTGGCTGCCATAACTACCATGGGAATTGCAGGTGATCCACTGAGGCTCAAGTCTCCGAGTCTCCTGTAACCCCAAATTCCTTACCATCTGGGATGACTATGGGTACCTCTGGTGCGGCACCATCTGCTGAGCGCGACCCTGATTCACTTGAGCGCGAGGATGACTCCCTCTTCCCTGCATGCCTTCTGGAGCTCTTCCTGTCACACATTAGCCCTGCAAAATCTCCCCTGTTCTTCTTCCTTGGCCTCTCCCTCGCAGTCACTGACTCATGACCTATCCTCCCCCTCTGAGAGCACTCTGGTCAGATCAGCAGCCCCACTCATACGCAGAAACCAGTCAAGTGTCTTTGCCAGCAGGGTGTCTTCAGTCTTTCCTGTGAACGTCACTTTTGCTGGGGACCAAGTTCAGAAAGCAGCATCCACGTCCAGTGTACAGTCAAATTTAGCATGGACAGCAGCACTGCTCCCGTTATACTCACACAGATCAATTGGACCCTTGCTTTGGTTTGTATCAATATTTATTTTGTGCACAAAGTACTTTCTGCCGCTCCCTCCCATGTCAAACACACACGCAAACACATGCACACACAGAGGCTATATATTGATCTAAACAGGGGCATAATCATCAGGGGGAGGGGCATAAATCTGGTATATTTATCCAACCCAGAGAGGAAGTCCTATGGAAAACTAGGCCTAAGTGAAGACCCTTGAGATGAACGAGACACATCTAGATGCAACTAAAACTTTCCCTAATTAGCAGAGCCAATCAGATGTCACATCTGCGATGGAAAACTTTCAGGGTTGATCTGGGTGTTTTCAGAAACATAAAAGTGCCTTTCTCAAGAGACACTAGCAAAGCAGCAAAGCAGCAACGCACAAACCACAGTGAAACTTTTTCTCCCTGCCCAAATGCACCAGAGAGTCTGTGTAGTGCCAGTGCTGAATCGATCCTCCCAAAATCAATCCTACATCTCTCCCCTGGGCCTCACTGGCCCACTCTGACGCAGGAACAGAGGGGTTATATTAGGGCGAGCTGACCGACATTTAACTGTGAAGCGCTCCATATCAGGTCCCAGTATACACCAGGCCTTGTTCAGAAAGCATACATTCCCATGTGGTGCATACGAAATCATTCAGAGGGCAAACAGAGTTGTTGTAAACTAGGAAGGTGTTTTCATTTGTGTAAAGGGGAGAAATCAATTGTAGTCATCGGCTCAATACTGGCAGTTGATATTTTACTGTGACTCAGTGGTCAGAGCTAGAACAAATATCCAAGGGACAAGGCTTATAGCAAGGGCAAACCGAATTACTGGCAAGTGGCAATGGAGTTGTGAAAGTGAAACAATTCGGTGGTGTGCTCCTCAGGATACATTTTTGATAATAAATTACAAAAATTCTGCATTCTCGTCGCTTTCCTAACAATCTGACTACAAACTAATGAAATCACTTTGGTGTAAATAAATGCAGTGACACACACGTTTTACATCGACTGAAATGCATCAAAATGACAGAAAGCCACATCCGCTTTCACAGGAACACTTTAGCCAGTCCCTCCTCTGACACCAGGCAGCAAGAAAACACCTCTTCTTACTCCTAAACAAGCTCATGGGTAGGTGTGGAGACTGACCTGTTTAGGCCCATCTTCTCCTAAATCATCCATGGTGGTGTCAGTCTCAACACCACCGTCGGCCAGGCGGGTTGTAGCATTAAGAGGAGTGCTAGTAGTATCCGGTGACACTGACCACAACTCAAAAAAGTGACACCATCCTCAACTCTTGGCTGTGAACTTATTGCTGTTGAGCCAGTCAACCACTTTCTCAAATTCATGGCCGCAACCCGAGTTTGAATAACTTAAACTCAAACTCACCTATACCCAATGATAGACTTTTGTTTTCTCAAAACTTTTATGTTCCACTCACTTTTACTTGATTTTTGTTGTTGTAATTGTATTTCGTGGAGGACAGGTAATGTGGTAATGCATCAATCTGTCTCACTGAGTAACTGTTGTTGAGCTTTAAAGTTTTTTCTGTATAGGTTAGTGAGTATTTTAAACATATGCTTAATATTAAATAGTACTTTTACATTTACGCATAGTGGGTTTTTACACTGTGTGTCTACTTTGTTATTAGAATAAAAAATGTTTTTCGGACTTTCACTGTCAGATTGATGAAGTATGGCTTGAGGGTGTTTCTGTAGCATGGCATTATATTATTACCCTGAATTCAACCTATATGGCACTTTTACAGCTGGACAAAGTACACGGAGGTACGAATGATAAGAAGTTTGCACCTGGTACTTCTTTTTGACCTCTCTATAGCATTTGACACCATTAACCATGATATTTTCTTAGAAAAATTAAAACACTATGGTTTCCAAGGTGATATACCAAAGTTACATGAGTGAAAGAGAGCAATGTACAGAGTTATGTGTAGTGTTTAGGAGGATCTACTGGCAGTCATGGAATATAATATTCATCAGTAGGTTTTCATTAGTGTACAATCACCTGAATATAGGAATTATTATGTTTTTGTTACCTTAGAATCAGCTGGTTTTTTTCTACAAACACTGTGTTGCCTCCTATGGAGTCCACCATGTTTCTATAGCCCAGAACGGACAAACCAACACTGTAGTTTATTTTCTCGACCTCTCCTGACATGCCTTATTTTTTTATGTGGATTTTTTGCAGTCTTATGTGTCTATGTGTCTGAGCTTTATTTGTTGCAAGTGATTTCAGTATTACTACCTGTAAATGCAACTGCAGCTTTTACGAGCCCCACAGTCAAGGATTACCACCATGTCTGCTGTTGCGGAGACAATCGAAAGGAAACTACAGTTCCTTTTCCGATCACTGAACTCTATCTTCAGTTTTGCTTTGTTCGCTGCTGTATTTCACGTCTCAGGATTGTTACCTGGCTGTATGTCAGCTTGCCAAATTACTACTTCAGCGCTATAAGTTTATCTGCAGTGGCTGATTGGCATTTCAACAGCAAGGTCCACTGGTAATCAGTACAGGCTTATAACAAAGTCCCTTTAACTGGAAAAAGGAAATGATGACCAATCCAAACACAAACCTTTCCCTGTTACACAAACCAGCTGCGTGCAGAGAAGGGGCAGGACATGAACCAAACAGATATTTATAGATAGAGGGAGTTGCACTTTGACAGGGTGCCACATATTCAAATCACACAAGATTCAATACAACAATCCCTTATGACATAATACACATATTTTCAAGCTATCAAACACTCATACAAGGTAGACTCACAAGAGCTCTCCCAGTGACAAGGTCACAAGAGCAACAGTACGTGTGTGTTATTACACTGCTGAACAGTTTAAGGCTGATAGCGTTCTGCTGTGCAGCATGGCGCATGACAGACACTTCCAGAGTAACTGAGAAATGCCTTCCTTTGAACTGTGAGTAGAAAACAATAGGCAACAGAGCAGGGACAAACAGGCTGCTCTCTGTGTGTATGTGTATACATGGAAATGGACACACACACACACACACATATACGTACGTACGTCTTGGCTGCTAGCCATAAAAACATTTATATAAATAAAAAGATCACCAAGGCCAATAGACACTCAACTCACCAGGTCATGATTTGAATACAGTAACATTATCAAGAAAAAAAACAGCTTGATTATCTGTTAAACGTGTGACTGCTCAGTCTGTCTTTAGCTAAACTGGTGTGACATAGCATGGACCACAGCTCCGTCCCTAACCCATGCTCATGTCCAGCTCCAGAATGAAAACTCACTCCAGCAGCAAGCCTCTAGCTCCTCCTGTGGTTGGTCATGTCTGCCTTCTCCACTGCCTGTGTCCCCTAGACAGGGCCCAGCTCGATGAAACAGCCTTCCTGCCAGCCTGTGAATAACAGACATCATACAAGGCAGCAGGAAGCCAGCTGATAGCCGGTACAGAGTCTCAAAAACCGCAGTACGTCCGGAGGTCTTAGTAAGTAGGAAAATCCAGAATATGGAACGCCAACCGCGTCTTAAAAAGGCCAAAACTTGGAGCTATCCCGGCCGGCTGTGTTTAGTCTGTAGAGCAGTAGAGGCGATGACCAACTGTGTGGAGCCTGGGCTGGACCTTCCTTGCTCCTTCACTTCCTGCTGCAGTTCACAGTGTCTGTCCACCCTGCTTCCTCCTGTGGGCCACAATTCAGCTCTGTGTACTAGTGCAGCAGCAGCAGCAGCTCTCTACTCGTCCTCTCCGGCCTGGAAAGTTCAGGGGAAATAGACTCTTTGCACCTAAACGAGCTCTTAACGCTCTCTTTCCATTTTCCATAGAAACCGAAGCACGCTGCTATGTTGTCCTTAATCTCTAACTGCTCTGTGGAAAATTACGCTCCTGGGTGTGAGCTCTGGACCCCTGTTCTGCACCTGTCTCTGGGGATCAGGGTGGACCCTCGGTGATCAGGCTGATAAGGATGTGAAGCATGGCATGTGAACAAATCTCCCAGCAGCAGTGCCTCCCCTGGCCCTGCTTCGAACCTACTAATCCCCCAATTTTCATTACTTTTTGAGCGTTGAACAAACAAACTTGTGGGCTCGAACACGCGAATGCCATGGGCCTCGTTACAAGGGTTTCCAGTGATGGGTTAACGCTACAGAGGGCCTGGACGCCATTCTTCACACATACTCTCCACCAGCAACAAGGAGCTGACACTCATTTTGCAGATACCTGTTCAGACTTTGCACTGTTGAGTGTTATTTACAGTGTTGTGGATAAAAACATAAAACGGTGTCCTCCCAGTTCTCACTAGGACAAACGTAAGCACTTGGATCGAGTTTACGAGCATTTTATTAAGAAACAGGACGATTCTTTCCACTCATTTAGTAGATGAAGATGACTCTCATTTACGTCGTTAACTTATATAAACGTTCTCCTTGTTTCTTTTTTTTTTTTTAAATGTTCTAGTAATAAAAATTAATGTCAAGAAGAAGAAAAAAAAAGTTGTGGGGAGCACAACAGCCCACAAAGGAATTGGCAAGAGCATCTCTTCATCTTTACCACATAAACAAAAGTGTGCGTGTGTGCGTGCTCGTGCACAGACGCACACACACAGTGACACATACAAGTGCCCTTGTTCTAAATGCTGCTCATCACATGATATTCAAGAGACTCCTCAACTCCCAAGTTTCTGCCTGGAGAGGATCACCCTCGTGCATCATATGACCCCATCCTGGTGGCTTTTTGCTTCTCTGATAACAACTAACTGCCCTCTACTCAATGCTCAGGTTGCACTGCATTAAGGTTCAACTCATCACCTACGTGAACACTCCGAAATATGTGCACTCCTTTAAATCTCTGCCTTTCTTAAAACATACTTCAATAGTGATTCAAGTGCAGCAGAAAACTCCACAGCAGGGCTTAGCTTTGCAATGTTATCGCAGCTTTTCACAACCTTATGTGAGGAAAGAGGATGGTGGTGGTGGTGGTGGTG